ATGAAGTTCAGTGAAAGCCTCACCCAGACCTAGATGCCACCAAGGCGCCTTTGACACAGGCAGGAAGTGTGTTTTTAGACATTTCCATGTAAATTCTTCTTTTCCCAGAGTTGCTGGCAAGGTTTTTAGCAACAGCATGTCAGAGATGGGGTTTGAAATGCTTAAGGGATGCTGTGCTTCTCCAGAGGTTAGCACTAGCCAGCTTTTGGGTTTTTTTTAATTGTAGAGCTACACTGGTTTACCAAAGATTGCCTCCTGGACATTAATTCCCATATTTACAACTCTTACCACAGAAAATGCACTTACCATGTTTATAAAAGTTATCTGAAGTAAATACAGCACCCTCGATATTTGATGTCTTTTTTTTTTCCCCTATAATTTCAACACTTCTGCCCTTTTGCCTAAAGGTAACAGTTTGTAACTTTTGCTTATTATTTGTCATGACCAGCTTTCAGTTCCACCCATTCTCAACTGGTCAGTTTGGTCCATACTGCTCATTTTATGAATTTTCTTTGAATGATCTTTTCAAACAATTTTTTTATACATTTTGAAATGCGTGAAGCTAGAATTGATTCACATGACATTGCTAATAATAACGCTGCAAGCAGTAAAGAATCAGTACTAATCATAATCAAGTGTTTGGACAGACATGTATATTTCTCAACTTTTTAAAAAGAACTTTTTTGTGTTGATGCCTCTTTATAAGACACTAAAAGTCAGACTTCTTATTCCCACTCTAGCTCAGAAAGTCTGAGGAAATATTTTTTCCTTTTTTCTTGCACAAAAACTGTCAAACAATAGAAAACGTCATAGTACGTTTTATGCACTAGCATGGCATTTTCTGTAACCTGATGTTGGAAATATTAATATTAATTGGCTGTGCCTCAAGTGTGTAATATATTTATAAATATGCATTTATTAATATATTTGGGTTTAAAATGTTATCGTGTTCTACTTCAATACCATATTTCTATACACTTGGTATGGCATGATATAGTTATACAACAAAGTACATTTGTATTTTTACTTATATATGTATTTTTGTCTTTTGTTCTAGGTTATGTACTGTAATTTTCAAAGGGTTGACATAATTTACCTTCTTTGTATGAGAAGCGTGTTCCATTCTTTTAAAAACCTGTGTATTTTTACATCACAGTATACGTTAAAGGAGCAGTGATTGAAATAATTGTTGTCAAGGAAGAATGTATTAAAATTATTAATAAGACTTAAAACCACATGAGACTTACTGAATCATCTGATCTGACCTAAATTTATGACCCTTCCTTGCAGTTCTTCCCTTCACATACTTGCACAAAGATAGGACGATCAAAAGGAGAAAAAAAACCCAACATAATAAAGGCCAGTGAAAACTGGACATTTGCATTAGGTCAATGTAACATTTCGTGATTATAATAATATAAACAAATAAACTATAAGGGCATTCACATCAGACCTCATTTCAAGCTGAACTATTATAAAGTGATTAACAGCCTCACACTCCCACTTTAATTAAGTTATGTTGTGAAATATTCAGCATTTGAACCTGTTCTGGCCTGCCTCTTTTATCATTGAATTACCATCCTTAATGTGTTTTTCTGCTGAAAGATGAATTTCATTTAAGGATTACTGTACACTGCTGTGGCGTTTTGTGGTTTCTTGTCAGCCCTTGTGAATCTAGATCATTGCTAACTTCAGTTTCTCTGACATGTCCTATATGCACAGTCTCTTGACTAGCCTGTCTCTGTGGATTTATTAACTCATATTGTATTCCTGTAGAAATGAATGGACATTTTTGATTAACTTAATGATAGAAATTTCAGATGACAGTAGAGTTTACTTCTAGAGCTTACTTCAGGTTATGTAGGCCACAGCAGCTCTCTAGTGACCTATCACTTCACAGAAATTTGTTTTGAAAGTTTCAAGGCAGTGGACATCTGTCTGCCAAATACTTTCAGATGGTTTTAGCAAGGAGAGAATTGAAGGGTCCTTCTGAGCTGGGGTCTCTAAATCCACAGCCACACCCAGTGCTGCTTTTTCCTTTCCTGAGATTGGTTTTCAACTGTTATATCCAACCACATATTTCAGAGGCTGCCTTCAGGCAAACTCACACTACTAGGTGATTTTGAGGAAGGGTCAATGGGTAATGTTCCAGCTAAGCATCCTGTTTCCTTCCTTTCTAGTTGTGCCTACCCTGGACCAAAGCTATGCAACTCGGCACCGCATGGTCAGTTTTGGTCGTGTTTTTTCCCTCTCAGTTGTCTGATGATCAATCTGTGCTTTTGGGGAGGGGAGGACATGCTGAACAATATCATCATGTTCTCTTGGCTTGTCACATAAAAGTCCTCAGAGGGAGTTCACTAGATCTTGAAAAGTGACAACAGATCAGGGGGGTCTGTGTACTCCCACTACACGGCAGAATTGTCTGCTCTCAGGGAGGTAGCAAGTCAGAGACTTCTCATGCCATACCTGGTCTCATATGGATATAGTGCCCCAGGAATGGCACCTGGAGCCAGGAACTTCCAAAGGAGGTCTGAGCCCTGGCAAGGTGAAGGTTTACTCAAGCACAGAGATTTGAGAGACATGGCTTTGGCTCCCTGCACAGTAATTTTATGCCGTAAATTACACTCAACTCTGACACTGATTGAAAATATAGGTAGTAATTTATTTGTGGGAAGGTGGTCTAAGGTCCATGCTCTCCTCTGTGCTGGACAAACATAGCATGTATATCTTTGCCCCCAGAGCTCACAGCTCAAATGGGCAAAAAGATGCTAAGATGCAGTGTTCACAGGGAAGGATCCCCAACTTGCAAAAAACATCGCAAAAAAGCCCCTTACTGGTTGGTAGGGACAAACACAAGAGAAGATCAAACGGATTCAATGAAAGTGGGATAAAATAAAGGTCAGAGAAGAAGCAGGGGAAGGTGTGGGACAGAAGGTAAGAAAATACTTTGCAGAAAGGAAGCTAGCAGTACAGGTGAAAATGCACCTGACATAAAAGGAGGATCACGACAGAGATCATTCTGTTTGCTGTGTCTGTGGAAGACTGAGTTTCTGAGCTGAGTGTCCCAGCCACTTCTCCTTCCCGAAGTCATAAGATCAGGGAAGAGACACAAGGCTTGGTGGTCTTGACTTGGACAGGTCAGAGCTCTTGGTTGTGAGACATGGGGATGAGAAAGGGGGGTAACCACGGCAGGGTCTTTGTTCCCATTTCACAAGCTCTGGTGTGACAGTTCCTGCAGCTGCTTCTCTGTGCTGTAGCCAACGCTGTCCCAATGGAAGTTGCTTTCCTACTTTCATGAGAGCATTGGCCGCCTGAGTACTTATGGAGCACTGAGTATGGCAGGCATGTGAAACATGCTTATCTGCTAGACAGAAGAAAATGCAAGGCTTGTCCTGTCCATACAGCTGCTGTGTGTTCCTATCGAGTTGTCCTGAATGGAAGCCTTTTATCCTCAGAGATGTTGGTGTGGGAAATTCAGACTGTGCTTATTTTACCTTAAATTTCAGATGGCCTTGCCTCATTTTAAAACCTAAAAATTTGATTAGGACTGGTGCAAATGGAAGCTGGTGCTAAAATGAAGTATCCTATTGTTCTGTCATTCCTGGAAAAGAATTGGAGATAATTTCCTGTACGTGATCTTGGTTTCTTAATTCACCTAAAACAAATCCTCTCCTAAGGCAGTTGCTCAGAATAGCAGCATGCACGTCAGGATTGTGGCATTGACACACTCTGCTAGTTACAGGATTCCTCGTAATGCGTAAGAACAGCTAAGGAAACATGAACTGGAACACAAGCAAACTGAGCTAAATCTAACTTTTCCCATGTGAGGGGAAAAATTTGTGTCTGGTGATTTTTGAGATCCCTTATAAGAATCTGAGCTCTTCATTTCAGCCATAAGTAAAAGCAAAACTATGCAAAAGAAGGTTTTGATATACCTATCTTAAATTAGAGCTTTTCTTTAGCCAACTTCAGAGTGGAATTCCAATGATTTCAGGCAGTGTAATACCTTTTCTTGAAAGAAAAGGCATATACTAAGCCAGCAAAAGAGGTATTTCCTCTACATTAACTAGTGCTTGGGAAGAGCATGCCAGTGGATTGTAAGCAAGTACTAATATCACAAATCCCTTCCTTCTATTAACAGGATCAGCATCTCATGGGAGAAAGTGAGTGACAAAAAGGTCTTGCAAAAGTGGAGGGTTAAAAAGCTTGCACTTCAGGGGGAGTATAAAAATAATGCTTCTCATCCTCAGTTTCATTTAAGGATAAAGGGTGCTTAAACTGTGTGCTGTGTTCCGTCTGTAGTATTGAATTCTGTTCAGCTTGTGTAAAGAATTGACACAAAAAAGGCTAAATGGAAATTCTGACTGATGCAGGGAGGTACAAAACCTACCAAAGCAAATATGTTTAGAGCAAACTAGGAAACTAGGTAACTGTGTCAATAAACTAGCTTTACACAACGCATTAAAATACACCTTATTTACTCTGCCTCATCTACAATTCTGTTAGCAGCACAAGGTTATTTTAATACTATACAGAGATCAGAGACTAAAAAGTGCTTGTGGGTACAGGCACAAAGGCTTCTCAAAGAGAGAGAAATACAAATACTCGTTCATGAAATTCTTGGGAAGCTTTCTTTTTTTTAATCAGCATTGCCATTTTATTGTTTAACCTACCCTGCTTGATCTCCCTACTTTTGGTTAATACGGGAGTCAATTACAGCTTCATCTGTGCAGAATTAACTTTATAGAATATACACTAGGGATTTGTCTATCTCCTCTATTTAGATCTATGTCATAAAAAAATATGTAGTAGAGAACTGTGTGCAAGCACTGCATATGGTACAGGCTTTGCAGATTTATTGTAAAATCATTTTAAATCGGTTAAGCTCTTGCCAGAAGTTAATTAAATATGTTCCTTTGGTGGGGGGTGGGGGGCTCTCTCTCTCTCTCTGTGTGTGTGTGTGTGTGTCTGGGGGCGGGGGGGACCCTCTGTCTCACTAGGTGGCAGTGTCTGATTACATCTGGAAGGACCACGCCAGCCAGCCTGGTGTCTCCAGCTGTGACCTCCAGCACCAGGATGAAATCCCTGACTCTGCAGCCAGCTTGAAAGGTAGCACCACTGTTCACGTCTCTGTGTATACCGTTCACCTCAGCGGCCTCCGGGAGCTCTACAGGCACTTCCTCCGGCTACCTGATGGGGCTATCATTGAGGTAGGTCCAAGCAGGCTCCTCACTGAGATTTTGAAGGCAAAGAGGAGCACTTCAGAATTAGGTCAGCATCAAAACAGGAAAACAGGCCTGCCTGACCCTGCCCAAAATACACACTGAAATCTTCCATAGGAAGACCTTGCTCTGAAACAGTAAAGTCAATGAGTTAATGCTTTTGTGGTGCAAAGTAGCAATTTAGGATTGTTTATAGAGCCATTTAAAGGCAATTATGTAAGATATACATTGAAACTACACACATAGAGATTATTTATAAATATGTTTCGCTTAGAACCACATAAAGTCATTCTGTACAGGAATTATTATATATATAAATATACAAAGTAAGTATTGTGCACATTTATTATACAGCTAGTATGGTCATTCACTTAGTTCGTCCTCAGATACACAGAGCTAAGGCACAGAGAGATTACTTACTGGCATCTTGCATGTTTTAGATTCAATCCTGGATATTGTCAGATTTTTAGCAGCTTGTGCACTAAAAGACAATATAGGATGGTACTAAAGAGAAGTATCACCCATTACTTGTTTCATAGGCTGCATTTTGTTCCTTGTTTTTTCATTTTTATTCTAAGTGCTTTGAAGATTTGCATTTCCTTTTTGCCTTTGGTCTTCTGTTGAGAGACTATTAAAAAAAGATTGGCATTTAAGAGAAAGTAAAGCCAAAGAATAACACTTTACCTACCCAGATAAGAACTGGGAGCATCATAATGGAGATCTCTTTACCAACACTGGCAGAAATTATAAAGTACAATGTGTTCAAAGGTTCACTTCTAAGATTGAGGTTCAAGTACCTTTTTCCAGCATAAGACAAACATTGCTTCTGCTCCTTTGTTTCAATTTTTCAAGGCTCTTTTCTTTATTAAAGATTTTATTCTTAATGTCTTTGCCCTACTTGGCTTTTTAAAGACAATTTAATTTAAAGGAAACTGTCCTCAAGGAATCCAAACATCATTTTCTGCCCAGGGAACTTGTGATTCACCAGAGTGAAGACACCAGAGTCTTCGAACTGGCCAAAGAAAACAAGAGAAGGCACGTGGCCTACCTGAAGCAGAACTTAATTACTGGAACAAAGAAACCAGCAAATCCAAGTCCATGCCTAAGTCTGTTGAAGAAGCTCCGCATATAAATAATTGCCTAGACTTTTGTTTAAACACTTTTCCCTGGTTGAAGTCAACAATGCAGCCCAATTCCTACTTTGTGCCTGTTACAAATGTAGCTCTTTGCAGAATGTTTTTTCCCAATTAAGTTCTTCTCAGCTTTTTAGCTGAGAGGTTTCATTCAACTTCACAAGGCTGTGGAAGGAGGCTCTTTGAACACCCAAGGCAATCTTATCCCAGTGCACTGGTTCAGTTCATTAATCCCTTCTATATTTCTGAGAGAGGAGAAATGCACTCCCATAAAATGTAGTTTTGTTTTCCCAGGTGAGTTTTCGACAAGCTTCCAGCATCGACAAAGTGAGCACTGCACAATAAGGATGCTCAAGCCACTTCTTTACAGTTTCCCGCACCAGATCACAACATAATCTATCCCTAAAATCCACATGACTGAGTCTTATGTCATCGTCCTGAAAGCTGCATGTCTAACTTAGAGGATCAATGCATGCTTTACAGCATTTTTACTTGTAGAACTGAATACAATTACATGTAAGAAATGTACTTAACTAATAATTGCAGTAAAACCTATATACAGATCTTACATTTAGCTAATAACAGATGTAATTATACATTTGTGTATTTTATAGGTCAGAGCTTTCTACTTCAGTTCCAAATTAAGACTATTTAAAAAACTTTAAAACTATCCACTGACTAGTGAGAAATTTGCTGCCATGGGGTAAAATATACCTGAGCTTTACCACTTCCTGCTGTTGTCACCCCTCAGGAACAAGTTTTTTTGCCTCTGCTGAAGCCAGACAAGCAGTGGTATTTGAGTGGAGTTAGAAAATTTTTTAGAGCTGAAGGGTTGCATTGCACCCTTATGTATAGCTTTTAAGGTGTAGGAGATGAAAGGCTACTTGGGCTTCTTGGGATAATCTTTTCAGTCTCCTGCCTCTGTTCACAACTTGTTGTGTATAAATATTGAGTTTGAATATTTAGAGCTAGTTCTAAAGACTCAAGTAGTTTAGTTTACCTAACTCTAGTCTAGTTTAGGTATTTTGTTCCCAGTGATTCAATGGAAAGATTTTTCTGGATACTTACAGTCTATTTGGTCAGAACTTTCCTCTTATTCTAAATTTAATCATTGTCAGCTTCCATGTAATTATTTGGATCACTCTTTGGTGTAAATAAGACTTCTCTTTTCTAGAAGTTTGCCTACATAATATAATTTCATAATCTTGTCTGTTTTCTGCCAGAATGATTACAACACCTCACCAGAAGAAACGAGGGTTTTTTTGTTCCTCTCCTCACCATTCCAGCAGTGGTGAAGGAGGAAGGGCTCTTCTTCCACATTTGTGGATTCTCTGTCTCTGTCATAGACAGTTGCCTTTCCTCTTTCTTCAAGATCAGCAAGCCTCTTTCTCCTCACCAGAAACAAGATATTTGTACAAAGTGCTGTCTTGGGACCATAGGAACATGGTCTGTAAGAACAGGAGAGGTCTACAGCAATAGTGACATGTCCTACTGTTGTATATACATCTACCTTGTCTGCAGAGTCCACAGAGCAAGAAAACAACCGACTTTCACTTATTCTTCCTCTCTTCTAGGTGGACCAGTGCCTGTAGAACACAAGGAATAATTCAACAGCATCTAGGAACTGGGGGTTGCATGCACCTTCTTCCTGCAAAACAATCATGCTTTTTGTTACAGTAACATACCAAGGGTGAAAATTTAATTATTTCAGTGTAACCTTTTATTTGTTTGTTCACTTTTATTAAGAAACTCTGAAGGCAAACTCTGAAGATAACAAAATGAAAAGACTGAGTTTTAGTTTATGTGACTTTCAGGAATCATACCTGAAAGAGCCATAACACTTATTCCTAATTATTGCAGTGGAATCTCATAACTCAAGCATCTGGGGACTAAGATCTCCTCATCAGGTGTGTAATGCTTTGTGCCATTACAGCATGACGGTTGCAGATGTTGGTAGGTGTTCTTCAGAAGTATGTATAATAGGAAGACATGAGCAATTTGGTAGAAAACAGCACAGATATTATGATAATTTTGAAAAAGCCTCTACAAATGTAGACATTGTTCAGAGGGCACCACCAGCATAAGCAGTAGCTTCTTAGCATTCAGCTGACTGAGGTGCATGTGTAGGCTCGCGAGATCTGAGGCAGTGTATCGCTTGCCAAACTCACTAGCATGAGAACAGCATTGAAATCACCAGGCCAAATTCTGTCTCAAATTTGTGTGTTCAGCTCTTGGTGACTTCAAACTCAGATATGTTTTTGTATCTGCAGATGTTGTTTGGCAGGCATAAGAGAAATTTTGCATAATCTTGCTGTAAAGTCCTTGGATGCTCATAAGGAATTCACTTTATATTTACAACCTGATCCTACTATTCTATATTTCAGTCAAAGCAAGATTTTCTTATAGCCCTAATTCAGCAAAGCAATTCAATGTGAACTTAATTTTATCCAAGGAGCCAAACCACTAAATTTACTAATAATTTCCTTTTTTTTTTTTTTTTTCCCAATAAGTAAGGCCAGTTTTTTAGTGCTGTGTGTAGAAGTACTAGCTGGAAAAAATGTCTCTATATGCAATAACCTCTTTAAAATGTTTGAAACTTTAAGTGTGATATAGTCATTAGAGCTCCAGCTTTCCTGGTATAACTAGAAATTTCATGCTTGGTATGAAAAGTAGTTTTATAGGTTTCATAAATATGAGGCAAAACTAACTATTTTAAAAGGAGCATTAAGTACCAGGTGGCATGTATAAATTGCCCTAAAAATGTTAAATAAAAAGATTTTTTTTAAATGTGCAGCATAAAAATTATGGAGGTTAAACTTGTAGGTGCAGTCCTTTTATCATAAGCATTGTAAAACTTAAAGAATTCACATGCAGTAAAAACCATTTTCCTTCTTACCTATGATATATTTCTCCTTTATAGTAATTCAATTTAAGTCTTGGCTAACCAAGGAATGACCTTCTCAAAATAAATCATTTTTTCATGCTTTTCTATATTCATTAATCTGATGTTATTTTAATATATAGGAAATTATTGAATTTTAGCATTTTAAATGTATTTTAAATCCATGCACAGAAAAGTTAATGATAGTGGTATGTATTTGCTGTCTACATGGTGATAACACCAACTTGGTGATTTTTATCTCAACTTTTGCTGACTGGAGTTGATTTCTTATTAAAAGGACAAAGATAAGCCTCTTTAACTCAATAAAAAATCAGTTTCTTATTATAGGCCTAGTAAACCTCAGCATTGTAGAGAAAGTTTTTGTATAGTATGATTTTATCTATCAAATAAGCCTTCACAAATGTCAAGGATTCATCCAATTTAAACTTACTGCATAAAAGAGATCTGTTTTCCCTAATTACTTGAAAAGCACCTCGTAGTAATAGGATAAGACAGCGTAGGTGACTAGCCAATTACTTAGTTTAAGCTATTTACATCAATCCATATGCTATAAATTATGTCTAAACCCGCTTGCACTTCTGGAAAAGTGAATAAAATCATATAAGTTTATTTTGAATACAAGATCAGATATGATATGCTGAGTGACACTTAAAAAGAATGAAACAGTAACCGTAGCTTATTTTCAGAAGCAATCTTGACACTAATGCTAAATTACAGCTTGGAAACATCTAGCATTTTTACCTTTATGAGAAAAGGCTTTTTACATATTTAACATAATTCTAGGGAAAATATACTGGAATTATGTATAAAGATATGTACACTGTAACCAAAGGGCATTTATATTCCCCAGTAGAATACTTACAACAATTTTATTGCCATTTGGTGTCATTTTCTAACAGATATAAAATACAGCCAGTAAACAAACTAGACTTTAGATTTAAGCTGACAGCTGTTCCTTCAGAAGCAATATTCAGATATTTAATCTTAAGAATACTGAATATTTTAGAATTGTTTGAGCAAACTATACTTTTAGCATGTGAAGAACTGCATGCTTTTATATACAGTTCTTGGATCTGATAATGACAGTAAAAAACAACCTTAGAATAATCTACACATTTGTCACTCCCATATATTCCTTGGGCAAGTCAACAAATTGCCTCATGTTTTATTCTTAATTCCACAAATTCTTTTTTTTGTACACAGTGTTGATATGAATATTGGTCCCTATTTTTTTCCTGTATGTGCCTAAGCCATGAAGTTGACTTCAATGCAGTTTATGCATGTGAGTGCAGCTTTTTCTGGCTCTAATTTCATTAAGGGAATAAATTGGCCAAGTTTACTGCAAAAGCCCCACATGCTGTTTTCATAAAGAGTCTCACTCTTTATAACTCTTCATGACTTAGCAGTCGCTAAAGGTTTATGGAGAAGAGAAAGAGGGAGGATCACTTCAGCCCAGTAACTGAGGTTGGTACACTACCTAATGACTTCACCATCACACAGCTTCATCATCTCACCAGACACCACAGAGGGAACAGCACAGCTCTGGCCTTTCCATAAGCTGGGTCAGCTGTGGTGAGTGGGTGAGGACTCCATGGCTGAGGAGAGGCTGGACAAAGGCAATTATTTGGTGTAAACTGACCCACTTTAGCTGGCTTCAGCAGCGTCATGTCAGGCTATCCACAAACATAGCCAGTTTATGAGTTTGTTTCCTGGAGATCCCTGTAAAAGTAGGGATTAACAGCAAATGATTTATCCTTCACAAAAGTGATTCCACCCACATTAACGCATGCAGGTGTGTACATACTCCTGGGCTGAGTAGGCTTCACCACATGCTGTCTGCCTAATTCTGAGATTTAATCTTGTCCCATAGAAAATGAATAATACTTTGCAACTTCATTCAGTGGGAGAATGATCCCTCTCCACATGCACTGAGGTTCAGTTGGGAATTATACATGGTAAAAGCTGAGAGATACTCCCATGGACATAGCCATTTGAAGAAGTACAGGCTGAAAACTTACAGCCCTTTTGTTGAGGATCATGACAGTATAGCTAGTTCCGCTGCAAATAAGTAAATCAGACTGTTTTAAGATATTTTTACCAGTATATATTTCTCCTTTAATGCTATAATTCAATTAAAGATAATCAGTTTAAGAAAGAAATTAGTTGTCCAGGCAGTGCTTTCCATCCTGCTGAAAAGATGAGAACAAGAAAAACAGTTTTCATGGAGAAATCTTGTGCTTGTATGCTTTTTTCTTAAATTGATTCAGCTCATCTCACACGTGACATGTGAACCCTGTCCTGAAATGGACCCAGTCTGTTGCTCTGTGTGCTTGTAGGGGCTAAGCCAATCCATCTGCTGCAGATGAAGTGGATGTGCACAATGTGTCTCAACCAGGAAGTAGTTATGTCTTCATACCTTCTGTTTCGGGTTGTTTTCCCTGTCAAGTATAAGATTAGGTCCTTACTTTTTTCCCAGTACATAGTGGTATAGTTTTAAATGGGAACAGTGTCTATGAATCTATTATCAGCTGCAGTCAAGATTATGTTACTACATGCAACAGGGTGGAAATGTAGGAGGCAGCCTTGCAGCATGTGGCCATTTCTCATCTCCCTCGTTTTCTACAAATCCCAGGTTCTGTATAGTCTACACCCCGGAAACTCACAGGGTCATGTGCAAAAAGATTTATTTCCTTCAAGTTGCCGTGTCCCACTTATCTGCTGTGGGGACTGTGCTGTGATAGAAGAACTATAAAAGGGATGAGAGAGGTCCACCACTGGCTTTTGGCTGCATTCACAGGCTCTCAGGTAGCCAAAAAATTACTGAAATACCAGAACTACAGCCTTATAGCCTTGTTCTGTATATGAATACACAATTTTAAATCATACTGATTCTTTATTACTTGCAGAGAACATGGGATAAGGAGCAAAGATGACATACCTAACCAACAAATATATTATTTTCATGGATATTTTAATTTCTTTTTCCATGGGGGCTGAAGAGTTAGAGCTGTCTCCTTCAGTTGTTCACAGATGGGATGGAAGCAAGTTCAAGCTCATCCACTGTCTGAGCCAATGCTCACAGGAAAAATCCTGTCATAGCACTGTAGGTGTGCTGTATAACAAACAACAGTGCTAGTAATTAAGAGGCACTTTAAAAGTGCTATTTTGTATTAAAAAAATCCCTTTCAGTTTCAAACTACTTTAAACACTAGGATTTACTGCATTTTCAGTGATTTTCAGAATGATTTTACGCTGCAAGGACAGAGTCACTGTTTGTTGTGGAAGGTTTTTTATAGTTTTAAATTGTTATAATCTTTATTCATCTATCACATAGTTTTACCTGAATCAGCAGTAAAATCTCTGAAGTCAAAGGATAATTGCCAAAACAGCATTAATTTATTTTATCCGAATAAAAAAATAACCTTTTAAAAAGTACCTTGCAGCTACACAGATTGACAAAATGCATCAATTATATTTTTGCTCACTTTATAATTACACTACAGTAAGTGCACAGTGAACATGGTTGATTAACCATAAGGTTACTGCTATTAAGTCACTCTCAGAAACAACAACTTGGACTTTAATTTAAGAACATAACTCTGTACAACTTCTGATCAAGTCTAAAAATCTGACATATCTGTACAAGCTTCAGTTTAAAGTACACAAGCAAATGATAGCACCTTAATTGTAGCAAAGGATTCCTATTGCTTCAGTCAGGCATGCTGGTTATGTGAATGATCAGATTTTAAAGAGCTCTTGGTATGTCTTAACCAACACCAAAGGAAAAGCTTTTCCAGTGAACTCTAAATATCCCAGTCCTCTTTTTTGCATAGAAACAAGTCTTATGAGGCGCAGCTGAAGGAGCTGGGATTGTTTAGCCTGGAGAAAAGGACACTCAGGGGAGACCTTATCACTCTCTACAGCTACCTGAAAGGGGATTGTAGATGGATGAGGGTCAGTCTCTTCTCCCAGGCAACAAGCGACAGCATGAGGAAATGGCCTCAAGTTGCGCCAAGGGTGGTTTAGTTTAGATATTAGGACAAATTTCTTGACAACCTGAAAGGGTTATCAGGCACTGGAACAGGCTGCCCAGGGGAGTGGTTGAGTCACCATTCCTGGAGGCATTTAAAAGACATGTAGATGTGGCATTCAGGGACATGGTTTAGTAGTGGACTTGATGGAGTTAGGTTTATGGCTGTACTCAATGATCTTAAAGATCTTTTCCAAGCTAAACAATTCTATGAAGTTAAATGAATTTAGTGTTCCAACTTCTGGGGAATTAGGATTAGATCTCCTAATTAAGCATACCCTGGTGATTCTTCCACATTTTTCTTCTCAGATTATTGCAACTAGAAAAATATTTCTCTTTCTGTTAGCTCACTGATGCTACAGGCCCCCGTTTTGTCTTCTATCTTCTTGAACTTCATGTAATACAAAAGCATTGCTATGAAGCTCTGCCATGACTCTGTTGTATCTTTATGCCATGAGAGAAACAACTTTGGACAACCTAAAACTGGACTATCTCATAGTTTGAAAGACTAAAACAAAAAATAAAGTAGTAACTGTTCTGTGTAATTGGTATCTAGCTGAGAACAAAGAATAGCATGGTACAAAGAAACTTGCCTAGGATATAGGATGTACAAAACCACTCCAGCGTTTAGTCACATTTTCATGTGAGGTGGGGAATATCCCCTGCATTGTCTGTATTCCTCTATTCCAGAGGTAACACCACTTCCTTGCTTCACAGTGTATCAAACCTAGAAGTACAATAAGAAGTAAGCTATGTCAACAGTTAGATTTTAGGAATACGCAAAAAAATACAATAGAAATTAGAGGTTATTCTGGTACATACACCTGTGTTTGTTTAATTTATTACAGCTGTGCTAAACCAGTTTGAGAATAGCAAAATTCTTTAAAACATTATTAGAGTAACCTGCTTTTTTGTGCTAATATTTGAGTAATGGCAGCTAGAGAGAGCTGAGGCTCAGTTACTTTTCAGTATCTGAAATTTGATTTCTCCTCGCATTCATCTGAGCAAAATTTTTCTTATATGGGCATTCTAAAACATGAAAACAATCAGAGCCAGGGCACTCTTGTGCAAAATGCCACCCACATTACACAAGCTAAGGATCTGACATGTGATGAGGTAACTACTAATGAACTGAGCTGAATCTGAAGCAAAGTCATGGCTTTATAACCAGTTTCCAGTCCTATAACATCATGTCCTCATGGCCATGATTTTCTTCTTTGAGGGCCTATTCTTTATTCACTCAAATCTTCTCCATGTGTCAAGAACATCATAGGAAGAAACTATTAAAGCAATGGGCGTAAAAATCCCCATTCCACTGTTTTACTTAAGCATTTAGAGTGAGAAAAATTAGGCAAATTCATATTTCACATGTGTTTAAATTGTTAATCTCACTGCTCTATCTGTATTAGTGAATACATTTACAGTAAGTTTTACTTTATAATATTTTGGCAGAACTGTTAGAAAAATTGTTATAAGCCTAGGAGTGGAACTGAACCATGAAAGCTAAACTGTAAGCTGCTGCTAAGCTGGGTTATTAGTATGACAGAATAAAATTTCACACACACAGAAGCTTCTAAGCTGTGATATTTTGAAAGCAAGAAGACAGGGGTGGGGAAGGGTAATCAAAGTCATCTGTGTTCCCTCTGATATTCCACTGAATACTGACATAATAATATGTTGGTTTTGTCTGTTCTGTTTTTCAGGCGTTTGGTGATATTAGTGAAGAAAGTCTTTTGTGTAATGAAATGAACACAGCCCAGGAGCCCATAAGTACATCTACATGCATCAAGCTGAGGGAGAAGAAAAAGAGTACAGCAAGGTGGGAAGGTATTATGATCAGTTTCTGTACCTAGCTGAAGAACACTACTGATACCTAAGCATAAAATGATGGGAGAGACAGAAGAAAACAAATCATTTGAAAATACGGTTTCTCTTGGGAAGACTAGGGTGCAATCAGTTAGAGCTGAAATTTCACAGCTGTGTTTTCCAGTGTGTCTTTATCCTTGGGTAGTTTCATTGACTGTGTCCTGTTAGTTTTCCAATGCCCCCTAAGGAGTGAAGTTGAGTTAAAAGCACCTTGTGTTACTTTTAAATCCACAGTAATGTTGTCTGCTAACAGAGAAACCTTGGAAAGTTCACTTGAGCACACAAGACGAATTCTTTTTAGGGAAAACTGATCAATTTATTTTATGGGTTCTTGCTCCAATATCTCTCTTGTTGGGGGAGGGAGGTCATACTCTGTCATTGGTATATTTACATAATGTCTATCTCTGCATCCTTTTTTCTAATCTTCAGGAAATCCAGTTGTCTCTGACAAGAGCTAGTTCCTGCAGTCATGCATATTCCATGAAGTTGTTTCCATCCTGATCCACATACATGGTATGGTTACTGTCTGATAGGATTTATGTTTCTGACAACCACATCTCTGTGTGTAAAGTGTTGTTCTGCAAATGCTCCATTTGTAGCTCTTCTGTGGCTTCAACAAGCTTTGCAGTGTGGTGAGCTCATGGGATCAGATCACAGATCATGCAAACATTATTATTTCATATGATTTTTTTTTCCTTCCAAACTGTGGGGCACTCCTAAATTTCTCAGGTTTGCTTGTTCCTGCTACCTGTGGTGGGGAAAATGTTGCTTATTTGTCTTTCAAGTTTCATGACTAAAACATTGACAGCATTTTCAGTAATTATTCAAAGCACAACACGATTGTAATTACAAGACTGCAAAAATGCCCAGAAGAGGAACAATGATGGTTTCATCTTCCAGTTCTGTAACCAAGTCCCAACAGGCTGCAAAATTTACAAGATCCCAGAGACCATTTTTCTGAGGTCTTCATGATGGTCATACCTGCTTCCCTGGGAGCTACAGAAGCTTAAAGCAACCTGGAGGTTATCCTCATGCTTTCTTAGTAGTATTAAAGTTTTGCTCATTGGTTTGAAGCAGTTAGTGCCTATTCTATTTAGCTCCATATAAATGCATCAGAAATTAAGTCCATGCCACAAAGGCAAGAACTATGAGAGACTGCAGGAGAAGATGGGAAGGGGAACACAGGCAAGAAAGGTGAAATTGTTTGTGCAAGGCCACCTAAATCAGAGGCATGTGTAGAAATATAGGGCTGACTGCCAGTGCCCTGACTCTTGGTCTTCCCTGTGGTAGGATCCTTTTTGTCCTGAAAATGCAGTTGGAAAAGAGAAGAGTCTCACCTTACTGCTATTTTGAATCATTTCTGTAGAATGCTGTAATCTATTAACTTAGTAATCAGTGACATTTTTCTAGCATGTATGATTTTCTGGTGTCCCGTTTTTCACTCTGGTATGGGAAAAATTTTTCAGATCCACTTACATTTGCAAGATCTTACCCAATATATTGAGCATTGTTGATTAATTTTGTTACTTAAATCTATGATTGTCATCCACCTGAATAATCAGGAAATTACATTAGGTAGTAACCTGAACAATCAGGGAATTACGTTAGGTAGTAACCTGAATGTTTAAATGTCACTCCTGAGAACAGTTTTTCTTTGGGTTTGCAAGATAACAGTCTGGTTTCCATTTTTTTTTCTGGTTTATTTTTTTTTCTCCCTATTTATTTGTGTGCATGTGCATATGTGTGTGGTGATTTTATGAGTTACACCCAGACAGAAATGGTGTTTAAATCTTCTGAATATTTACAAGAACTGATGCTATTTGTGTGACTTCTATTGCATCAGATATTACTTGGATGACTTCTCTCTGTCATAACAGGAATAAAATTGCCTTTTTAATGTTTGCTTTGCCTGTTGACCCTTTAAACTGTTGTACATAACTTTGAAAAAGAAACTAACTGAAAAGAAATCATTCAGTCTCAGAATTTTTCTGTGGATTTTTTCTACCTGAGCAGCGTTGCTCTTTTCATGCCAGATTTTGGGGTAATACCAATTACCCCACAATAATTAATGACACACACAATATGGTGGAGGCTGCTGGGATTGCCTGTGTTCATGACTGTCCTGTGCTGTGAGTCAAGATGGTGATCTGTAACCTATTCCAGTTTCTGGGTGACTGTACCAAGAAGACAGTGTGCTGTGGGCAGCATCATACTATATGCATCTTCTTGACCTCAGTTTTGTCTTTCAACATGACTGACTATAATGGTAAAAATCCCTTCGGGCAATATTAATACCCCAGGTTTCCCACTACTGAGTTATGATATCCCAATCTGGTTCTGTGAGATTTTGTCTTCAGTGTTGGTAATACAGTGTTTGTAGTTAGTCTGATGGCAGGACTGACTTTGTGTGTGGAACCACCACACCTTCAGTTCTAATAGGATTGTGCTGACTTTTTAGCAAATGTGGATCTGGTCCTGAGATCCGCATGAGGGACTTGATTGACCGCTTTTATTCCCTCAGTTATATTGGAATACCTACACTGACTTTCATCTGATCTGGGATGTAAAATTCTGTAATTATGTATTTGTGAAAGATGAATTTAAAGTATGCTTAAATATTAAGTAGATCTACCTTACTTTTTTTCCCAGAAAATGTAACATCCTTCCTATTAATTTTGATTACTTGCATCCCACGAGTTCCCATGATTGTTGGTCAATATACAGTGGGTGGCATTGGCTTTGAAATTGTTTGCTGAAGTGCTCTTATCAGCAACACCATCCATAATGCTCAGTTATAGTTGGATAGTAATTGCCTGTCTATGCAGTGTTCCTTTACAACAGTTTTCTCCTGTGTAGCTATATATATGTAGTCATTACTGAAAAGTGTAAATAAAGAATCCTTTTAGTGGTGTAGTTTCCCTGGGTACCTACTGTGCTCTTATTATCTAAAACATACTCCCCATCTGTAGTTCTGTTCTATTAAAGGATAAAGACATAACTATGAATTAAAAATTAAAATGCTTGTTGCAGATTGGAGAGCAAGGTCTAATAGAATATATCTGGTGCTAGGCTCACAGTACAGTAGATAGATTACACTAAGCACCAGTTAAGCAAGAGGATGAAAAATGAGTGATTTTCATCATTCAGTTAAATATAGTGCTAAGTGGTATGTGCTAGCATTAAAAGCAAATTACTTAGCACTTCACCAATCACAGCATGAGAGCATTCCATTGGAAACAGTATTTCCAGTGATGCTCAGTCCTAGGTTTTATTAAATAAATCAGCTGTTAATGCTTAAGGAAGCGGTAGAAGACATATTGTTATGGTAATATAAAGATTGAAAATGTAAAAATAAAGAGACACAGTACCTCATTTTAATTAAATGTGCTAAGAAAACCTCCCTCTCTCTTAACAACAAAACTCCAAGGTGCTGGCAAATCTGTAATTTCCTGTACTTTTTTTAGGTCTTCCTTTCTTCCTAATGAATATGACCTTTCTTTTTTTTTCTTCTTTATAATGACATCTTTTTTTCTCATAAATCCGCTGACATGTCACTGAACATTTTGATGAGCTTTTCTGATTCCCTCCTATATCTCCTTGATAGGATATTATTATCCAGTAATCTAAAGATAGGGAGCCTAATCCTTGGCACAGGTACTTTTTGACTGCTCAGTTGAAGACAACGGAGATGTGAGAATTTACAGCACAAGAGGGTTCGACATTGCAGCCCATATATATCCCATATATATGGGCTTTATATCCCTTTATATCCCATAGCAACATTATTTCCTCCGCAGCAATGGTCATTGGGAGACAGTCACATCTGCTGTCTGAACACATGGAAGATGTGAGTAGTTGTAAACCTTCCTGAATTTCAGACCATCCCTAAGCCACCGACTCTTCCTAAACAAAAGTCATCTATTAGGAGCTACACAACAAAAGTCCTGGGAATGGCATATGTGGAAGACAGTCCAAAGTCTGAACCACAGCTGCATCTTCACCAGCATGATCAAATATTAGAAGAAGAGAAAATTAAAGTTTAGGTATAAAACTTACAAGATTGGGGAGCCTATGCATGAAGTTGAGTCCTTCATTTCACCCCTGTGCCATTCTGTGTGGAATCCTATTTTGAGTTTTCTTTTATGACGAGGTTTGAAAGCTATTTTCTTTGTAAAGTCTATTGTGTTTGTCTGAGATAATTTTCCCATAGCGGCCCTCACAGTGCTGTCCTTTGTATTGGTAGCTAGAAGGGTGTTGATAACACACCATGGCTATTGCTATTACCCACCATGGTTATTATGGATGTTGCTAAGCCATGCTCACACACCATCAAGACAGTCTCTCCAACATTCTCCTGTTCACTAGTAGGCCGGGGACAGGCAAGAAGTTGGGAGGGGACACAGCCAAAACCGCTGAGCCAAACAGATCAAAGGGATATTCCAGACTGTATGATGTCTACTCAGCAATAAAAGCTAAGAGAAAGGATGAGAAGAGGATGGCACTCATTATTTATGACATTTGTCTTCTGGAGCAACCACTACATCTACTGAAACTCTGCTTCCCGAGAAGTGGCCAGACATCACTTGCTGATGGGAAGTAGAGAATAAAATCTTTTGTTTTCCTTTGCTTCCACTAAACTGTCTTTATCTTCACTCATGAGGGATTTCTTTTCACCTTATTTTCTCCTCTGCCATCCTGCTGAGGAGGGGAGTGATAGACAGACTTGGTGGGTAACCGATGTCCAAGCAAGGTCAACTCACCACATAAAGAGAAACGTGTAAGAAGTGAGGGACAAACTGAAAAGATGAAAACCGAGAATCTCCTGTAGGCACATAATTGCAGGAGTTCATAAACGGAATAAAATACCATGTCTTCTTTGTAAAAATGACAATCAATATTTTTCTGTTGTGAGGGGAGGAAGAATAAGGGGCAATCAGCCTAAATATCTTGCAAAGTTTTTT